GAAGCTCTCACTTTATTTTTTCTGAGACATGTAGCCTAGGCTGGCCTCCAACTGTCAATGCCACTTGTGGCCAAGGATGACCTTGAACTTGTGAATCCTCCTGCCTCCACTTCCAAGTGCTAGGATTATAGGTGTACACTACCACACCTGGTTTATGCAGTGGTAGGGATTGAACCCAGGGCTTCAGGATATCCTAGACAAGCAGTCTGCTACTGAGCTGTTTCCTGCCCTCCCTTCCCCTTCCCCCGGCCCAGCCTCTCTTCTCCCCCTCCATCCTCCCCTCCCCTTCTCTCCCTTCCACTTTCTTTTCTTATTCCATTTTCCTTTCTTTTCTTTCCCCAGACAGAAACTTCCTATGGTGCTCAGGCTGGCCTTGAACTTCTAGGCTCAAGTGACCTTTCTACTCACCTGGGCCTCCGGAGTAGGTAGGACTGCAGGCTCTGACAACTGGAGAAGATTTGATACAGAAGGGCTCAGAATCACACTCTTCCTTCCTCTCTCCCCCCTGGGTTCTCCCTCCCTTTCTCCTTCCTCCCTCCTGGTTTTTTTTTGAGTCACACACCACCATACCAAGCCACACACCGTATTCACCTCTGCCTGCCTGCCTCTGTCTCTTATCCTCCTCTTCCTCTTTGACCCTGTTCTCTCCCTCTGTCTCCCTCTCCCCCTCTGTTTTGTTTTAAGGTCACATTTAGCCAAAGCTGGTCTTGAACTCTTGATTCTCCTGCCTCCACTCTCTCCCCAGTGCTGGGGTTACAGACATGAGCCACCATTTCCAGCTACATTCTCTTTCAAATCCTGACTTAATAGCAGTAAATTTAGGGTAGGGGAAGACTAGAGACATGGCTCAGTGGTTAAGAACACTTGCAGTTCTTCCAGGAGACCTGAGTTGGGTTCCCAGCACCCTTGGCAATTCATAACTTGTAGTTCCAGCTCCAGGGGCTCCAACACCCTTTTTGGGCCTCCTTGCACATCACATGCATGTGAGGCCAGCCAGGGCTACATACTGAGACCCTGTATACCCCCTCCCCAAATAAATAAATATATTCATTTAGTCAGGAATGTATACCATTCATCTATAAAATTCACCTTCACCTGTTCCTGAAAAAATCAAATGAGGGGCTGGAGAGATGGCTCAGCGGTTAAGAGCACCGACTGCTCTTGCCGAGGACCTGGGTTCAGTTCCCAGCACCTATATGGCGGCTACGAACCATCCTTAACTCCAGTTCCAGGGGAATCTGAAGCCCTCTTCTGACCTCCTCAGCATTGCATGACATGGGTGTACTCACATACATATAGGTAATACACTCACACACATAAAAAAATTAAATCAGATGAGTCTTTGTACGGTGTGTGCAAAGCCTACGTTCAATCCTGGGCACCGCATAAACTGAGTGTGGTGAGGATGACTGTTATCTCAGCATTTGGGAGATGGACACTGGAAGGTCAGAAGTTCAAGGTCATCTTCAGCAACATAGGGAGTTTGAGGCCAGCCTGGGCTACATGAGACCCTGTTTTTAAAACAAAGAGGAAAAGCCAGTGGTGGTGACACACACCTTTAATCCCAGCATTTAGGAGGCAGAGGGAGGTGGATCTTTGTGAGTTCAAGGCCAGCCTGGTCTACATAGTGAGTTCAGGTCAGCTGGGGCTACAGGGTGACCCTGTCTCAAAAACAAAAACAAAAAACAGAGGAAGGAAGGAACAAAGAATGAATGGAGGGAGGGAGGAAGCCCCATCTTCTATTCCCAGTAGCTCCACAACATGACCAGCTATTGACAGTTTTACTCATTTCAGCCCTTAAAATAGGCATCAGGTGGTTTATTTTTTTCCACTGATTATAAGTTTATTCAATACAAAATATTTCTCTCGAACTTCACTGAAGTGGCTGACCAAGTCCATGACTAAACCAACCACTGAACTGGAATTTGGTTGCAGAACCAGCCCCAGCCCCAGGTTTCTCATGAGCACCAGGGGGCAGAGGGTAGATGTCTCTGTCAACCTCCCCTCTTATGAATCTTGTGGGTCACTCACCCTCTGGTTCTTTAGGCACAGGCCTGCCAGTCTCAGGATGGTTGCTGCACAGGGTGGCAGGCTCCATCTCAGGAGGCGGATGGAGGTAAACAGAGATACTGGATACCCTCGTTGGTGAGGTACCAGTAGAAAATCTCCAGGCAAACTGTTCTTCATGTAGTCTCTCTCGACTACAAAGCCATTAGGGCATGAAGGTTGGGCACATTCTTGTCTGCCAGCTCTGGTGTTTAAGCATATGAACATCCTTCTTGACTACCATCACGCCTTCCTTAAAATGGAGTTCATAGGTGGCAACCCAGTTCTTACTGGACATCAATATCCTGACAGCTGCAAGGTCTGCGGCCAAGGCTGGAAAGCAGTTTTTTCATTTTTAGAAAATACTGCATTTGGGCTGGAGAGATGGTACAGTAATTAAGGTGCACTGGCTGCTTTTGCAAAGGACCCAGGTTTTTGAGTCCTAGCATCCACATGGAGGCTAACAACCGTCTATAACTCCAGTTCCAGGGGATCTGACACCCTCTTCTGACCTCTGTGGGCATTGCACAACACAGGTGCACTGATCTACATGCAGGGAATACACTTAAACACATAAAAGGTAAGAAAAGGGTGTCAGAACCCGTGGAACTGGAGTTACAGATGGTTGTTAGCCACCTTGTGGGTGTTTGGACTCAAACCCAGGCCCTTTGGAAGAGCAGCCAGTGCTCTTAATACTGTGTCACCTCTCCAGTCCCTTCATTTTTTTTTGAGACAGGGTCTCCCTGTAGCCCCCACTGGCCTGAAACTCACTCTGTAGACCAGGCTGGCCTTGAACTCACAGAGATTTGCCTGTCTTTGCCTGGTGAGTGCTGGGACTAAAGGTGTGCCACCACGCCCAGCTTAGGACTTTAATCTTTTATGTGTAGGAGTGTTTTACCTGCATGTATGTACTACATGTATACAATGCCAGTGGAGGCCAGAGAGGGTGTTGGATTTCCTGGAACTGGAGTTACACATAACTGTTAGCATCATGTGGGTCCTCTGGAAGAGCCTGCACTCTTAACTGCTGACAACTTGAGTCCTCGGGGATCTAACGCCCTTTTCTGGCCTCTATGCCCATTTCATGACATGGCTGCACTTACATACAGCCAGTGCTCTTAACTGCTGACCCATCTCTCCAGCTCACTAGATTCAATTCTTTACCTAAAAGTAAATGAGTATGGGCCTGGGGAGATGCCATGTGTGTGTGTGTGGACAGGCTCACTGGCCACGCAGTCTTGACAAAATGACAAACACCAGGTTCAACAAGAGACCCTGTCTCAAAAAGTAAGGGAGAGAAGTCATTGAGGAAGATTCATCCTGACATCAATCTTTGGCCCCTACATGCCCCATAGGGGTGAGCATACATCTATCATACACCTATTCACCTCTCTCTCTCTCTCTCTCTCTCGCTCTCTCGCTCTCGCTCTCGCTCTCGCACACACACACAAATAAGCACATTCATCCTGTTAATATACAAATTTGCTTTAACCTGTAATGGTAAATTTATATTATACCAAAGAATTGCTTTAAAATAAATATCTTTATGATGTATTATGTGTTTGATTTGCCCTGCTTAGTTTTATCTACCTGTATCCCTCGGGTAGTGTAAATCGTTCTCATCCTGGTCGGGCATGGTGGCACACACCTTTAATCCCAGCACTTGGGAGGCAGAGGCAGGCAGATCTCTGTGAGTTCAAGGCCAGCCTGGTCTACATAGTGAGTTCCAGGACAGCTGGAGCTACAGGGAGGCCCTGTCTCAAAAAGACCAAAAAAAAAAAAAAAGTTCTCATCCTGTTCTGTATGGATGCTTGAAGCACACAGTAGAGGCCCAGACCTTCTAGCAGTGCTGTGTAGAGCAGGGGCTCAGGACAGGGCATTCAATGGTCAGTGTCAGTACAGGCGGAGAAACATTTCCATTTGACATGCTTTTTCCTTCCACTGCTGGTGTTTTGTCTTTAGGTTAGACACTTCCCTAGTTACCACTTCTATACTTACCTCAACACCACGCCACCTAAAATTCTCAAATACATGAATATCTAATGAAACGGCTTTTTTCAGTCTAGGGCATCCTGCCATACTTATAGTACAAAGCAGTTTGAGCACTTAGGAATTTGCACTATAATTACACAGGTACGTCAAATATGACACGCAAATGTTATATTTAGAGCCACATTAATTCCCATCCTATTTGGCGCAATTTCGGAGACACAAACTGAATAGAAAGACACAAGCTGCCCCGATGCCTCTGGCCGGGAGCCTCGAATTTGGGCTCTGGATCTGAATTGTCCACTCTACCCTGTGCAGCCCAAGTCCGGCCGGCCGACCCCTTCTCGCCTCACTCCTTTTGTGCATCACTTAGGGAGCTGTCCCAGCGCTGCACCCAGGACCACCATGTTGGTGACGTTCCTCGTGACCACGTGCCTCCTCGGCAGAGCCCGAGCAGGTGCACCCAGGGGAGACACCCGGGCCCGAGCCGCGCCCCCGGACCGGACCCGGGGCTCCGCTCTTCCCACGCGCCGGTGGAGAGAGCGCTCCTTTTTAATGGCTCGACTACCGGGAAATTGGCAACATGCTCCGACCCCGGCCGTTGGCGTCGCGGCCCGACGGTGCTAGGAACTGGGTTGCTCGAGTCCCGGCAGCGAGGTGGGGCCCTCCGGGCAGCACCGTGCATCCTGGATTCAGAGGACTGCGAGCCTGACCGAGAACCGAACACTGCGCCCCAGTATCCACCACGAACCCAGTGGGAGTCCCCCCTCACTGACCCACCCAAGACTCGGGGAGGGGCGCCGAGCCCCATCCCTGCCAGCCTCCCCCTCCCAGGTGGAGGGCCCCGACAGGGCTCCCTCCTCCCCGTCTCCCTTCCCTGCGGGCACTCTCTCCTCCAGTGCCCACATCTCCCGCACAGGGCACACTGTTCCCGCCCTAGTTTAGATGGGTGGGGTCCTGCTCTCCTCACCAGCTGGCAGCCTCGGCGACCATGCTAGGCTCGCGTGGCCCACTACTGCGCCCGGGCCTCGGCCTGCCAGGGCGCCCGTGTGGATCGGCCGGGCCTCGCAAGCGATGGCGGCCGCTGCGGTGCTGTTGGGTGCAGGCACCCCTCCCACAGGTGGCGGGGCCAGGGGCAGCGGGTCCCCACCGGGCAGCTGGGCCATGACGCAGCTGGAGGGCCGCGAGTTCGAGTACCTCATGAAGAAGCGCTCGGTGACCATCGGGCGCAACTCGTCGCAGGGCTCGGTGGACGTGAGCATGGGCCACTCGAGCTTCATCTCGCGGCGCCACCTGGAGATCTTCACGCCCCCGGGCGGCGGCCATGGCGCGGCCGCCCCAGAGCCCGCGCAACCCCGGCCGGACGCGGGCGGCGACTTCTACCTGCGCTGCCTCGGCAAGAACGGCGTGTTCGTGGACGGCGTGTTCCAGAGGCGCGGGGCGCCGCCGCTACAGCTGCCGCGCGTGTGAGTGCGGGGCGCGGGCGGGGACTGCGGCCTAGACGGCGGCTCTGCGGGATCCGGACCCCGCCGGCTGTCCGCGGCAGGGAGGACCCTGGGCCGGTCCCACGGACAGGGACAGGGAGGACCCAGACCCGCTACCCACGGCAGGGAGGACTATGACCGAGACCTGCTGCTCGTGGATAGGGAGGATTATGACCCAGACCTGCTACTCATGGACAGGGAGAATCATGACCCAGACCACCTATCGGTGGATAGGGAGGACCGTGACCCAGACCTGCTACACCTGGGTAGGGAGGATCATGACCCAGATCCGCTACCCGTAGACAGTGGTGACCCAGACCGACTACCCACAGCAGGGAGGACCATGACCTAGACCCACTACCGGAGACCATGACCCAGACCCACTGTCCACTGTCAGGGAGGACTGTGGGCCGGAGCTACCCATAGGACCCTGATCCAGACCTGCTACCCATGAACAGGGAGGACCCTGACCCAGACTGCCCACAGGAGACCAAACTCTAACCTGGACCTGATTGATGCTCAGAACCAAGGCCCATCCACTACCCATTAACTAGGACCTGACCATTTCTGACATATCCAAAGCCAGAATCCAGATCTAGGGACCCATCCATGTTCCACAGCAGGGGTAGACCCCACCCATCCCTGTCCACTACCAGAACTCAAGACTAAATCTCCAGTACCCCACCAGAAAGATTTAATCTGCTGGCCCACCCTTGTCTGTCCCATGTGCAACCAGATCAGACCCCCATGTATGACCCACTGGAATTCCAACCCGCGACCCTTTGCCCAGTCTAACATCTGACCCCCAGGACACAGACAACCATCTCTCTGTCCTTGTCCCCCTCCCTGCCAACTGTTGGTGATGGAAAATTTATGGGCTCTTTACCTGAAGAGTTAGATGCCTGTTATTGTTCACATGTTTTCAGTAGCGAAAGATTTTGAAGGTAGTGCCTTAAGCCTAACAGGTCCCCGCCCCACCTGTTTTTGTAGCCTAAAATTTGAAAGCTCCAAACTTGAAGGATTTTAAAACTGCTCTGACCTTAAAATTCTGGGGAAAGTTGATACTTTAAACACTTTTTTTTTAAAAACATCTGTTGTCAGATGTGGCATCTTACACCTGTAATGCTAGCACTCTGGAGGTGGAAGCAAGATTTCGAGGGCCAGGCCAGGCTGGGCTAGGTAGTAAATTCTAGATGAGTTAGGGTTACCCGGTAGACCCTGTCTCAAAAAATGAAAAACAGGAAAAAAAGGCATTTGTTTCTTTAGGGATTGCAAGACCATATAGACAAGTGAGCTTCATGGGGAACTGTCTGTCATTGTACAAAACAATTCAGTTTGCTTCTGTGGTGGATAAAGTTATCATTGACTGCTTGAAAACAAGTTTGCTCTCCAGGAAATGCTAATTACTGCTCAAGGGCTCCTCTTTAGTTGCTAGTATAGCTTTCCTCCACAAACTGAAGTTTTTAAACTGCTTTCAGTTTTTGGCAATGCTGTTAAGAGCTGTGTCTTTCTCACATGTGTGTACATGCATGCATGCCTCTGTGTGTGTGTGTGTGTGTGTGTGTACGTGTACATATGTACACCATGCTTCTCAGGCAGCCTTGGAAAGTGTCCTAGCTGTTGTTTTTGGCTCTTTGAGACAGGGTCTCCCTGCAGCCCCACCTGGCCTGGAACTTGGTATGTAGACCAGGCTGGCCTCTGTGAGATCTGCCTGCCTCTTCTTTCCAGTGTTAGGATTAAAGATGTGTGCCACCACACCTGGTTTTTCTTTTTCTTTTTTTTTGTCTTTTTGAGACAGGGTCTCCCTGTAGCCCCAGCTGTCCTGGAACTCACTGTGTAGACCAGGCTGGCCTCGAACTCACAGAGATCTGCCTGCCTCTGCCTCCCAAGTGCTAGGACTAAAGGTGTGCACCACCACACCCGGCTATGCCTGGTTTTTCTTATCCCCTAACTTTTTTTTTTTGAAAGTTTTTCAAAATAATACCATTTAATTTTTTAAAAATTATTTAATAACCACATACTTAGAAGCATTTCATTACAACAGCATTGACATATTCAATAAACTAACTTATTTCTTAATGCTTAATTTGAAACATTTTAAAGAACATTCTCAAACTCAAGTGCTGCTCATGTGGATCTTGTAGTGTAGATTGCATAAAATCAAAGATAGGGATGCCTAATGGTTATCTTTTTGGGGTGGGGTGCTAAAAGTTGGGATGGAACCACCAACAGCTGCCCTTTAACCTGGCAGTTTGTTTCCAAAAAGTCAGTGTTACAGTAAAGAAGATTATATATTTAGTATAAGGATTTGGGGATTTTTTTGGGGGGGGGTCTTTTTGAGACAGGGTCTCCCTGTAGCCCCAGCTGTCCTGGAATTCACTATGTAGACCAGGCTGGCCTCAAACTCACAGAGATCCGCCTGCCTCTGCCTCTGCCTCCGCCTCCCGAGTGCTGGGATCAAAGGTGTGCGCCACCATGCCTGGCTGTTTGTTTTTTTGAGACAAGGTCTCACTGTATAGTCCTGGCTAGCCTGGAGCTCACTGTGTAGACTGGGCTGGCCTCTAATGCAGAGATCCTGGTCTGCCTGCGTGTGCCCCACGGACCTAGCTACAAGTTGGTTGGTTTTTTTCTTTTACATTTGTAGGGGACTAGAGAAATGCCTCAAAGGTTAGGAGCACTGGCTCAGAGGACCAAGGTTTTTTTCCCAGTACCTATGTGTTGGCTGACAACCTTCTATAACTCCAGTTCCAAGGGATCTGATGCCTTCATTGCATGGCATGGGTGCATTTATATAAATGCAGGCAAAACACTCATATAAAATAAAAATAATTTAAAAATCTTAATTTATATTTGTTTATGTATGTACATGCCTGTGCCATAGTGTACATACAGAGGTCAGGACAGCTTGCTAGAGTGGGCTCTCCTTCCACCAGCTGGGTCCCAGGGATTAGACTCAGGTCATCAGGCTTGGCAGAAAGTACCCTTACACAGTGAACCATCTTATCAACCTGCAAGTTCTTTGGAAGTTTGTTGTTGTTGTTGTTGTTGTTTTTAATCAAATTACATAAACTTAAAAGCTCATGTCACAGAACAATTATGCTATGGCTGAAATAT